ATGATATGATAAAACCCCCCTGTGCAAGACGTTTCCCATTACGAACGTTTACATACATACATACATACATACATTACAATACATACATATGTGTACCAATGTAAATTAAATCTTTTGATTATCCAAAAGTATTATAAAATAGACACACACACACACAATATTTGATTACTTTACTTTCAAACAAATATAAAATCTAGTTCAAATATTTAACGATTAAGAAAAAAAAAAAAAAAACGAATAAAATGTAAATATCATTTTGACGATATTCGATCGATTGATAAAATTCACATGCTAAAGTTTCAAGTTAAATATTTGATTCGAAATTACAAATCGACGAAAATATTGAAATATTATTTTCCATACGAAAAATAACACATTTTCTTTTTTCACGTTCTATTTTAACTGAATGATATAAATTTGAATTAAAAAAAAAAAAAAAAAATGAGAGAGAGAGAAAAAAAAGAAAGAACTTATTTTAACGATAAAATTGTAAAAGGGTGTGTCTGTGAGAGTGTGTGTGTGTGTGTGTGTGTGTGTGCATTTACCGATGTGTCGATTTTATCGTGGAAAATATTCGACAATACACACATATATACATGTATATATGTATAGATACGTATGTACGTAGGTGGAACAAATGTGAATGGGATTAAATCGGAAATTCGCACGAAATATAAGCCCACATAATTAACGGGCAATCTGTCGCAATTCGCACGTACCTATACATATTTGGAATGCGTAGTCGTCCACCCTTGTCAAAAGGGTCATGTAATTAGGTCCGATCAAATCAGAGATAATTTCCAATTTTGTAACTCCCTTTTACCATTCTCTTTCCCATTTACCATTTCTCTGTTTCTAATTCTTCATCATTTTTCTATCACAATCAGTTCACATATCGTAATTGTTCTTGTAATAGTACTATTACAAAGCTTATAATGAAAAAAAAAAAAAAAAGAGAAAAGTGAAGAAAAGAAACAAACAATGGAAACTTATTAAAATCATCTTGAAATATAAAAATTCAGTGTCACGTTGTTGGTTACCAATGAAATTCGAAATTGTTAGACAAATCTTAATGAATGTTTATTAAAAAATAAAATTTAAAAAAGTCTAAGTTTAACAGAGAACTGACTAAAAATCAATGTAAATAATTGCAAAATTATTTGTTTATATATTGACTCAATAATGAAGTAAAGTTTTCAAAAGTTATCTCTAGTATATATTTTATTAAAATATAAATATATAATAATAATAAAATAACAAATAAAATATAAATATAATGAATATTAAAATAACATATTTCTTATTATTATATAAAATATTTTTATATATATTATTATAAATTAAAAGTCAGTTGGTTTATTGCGTTGTTTTAGGTAATGCAATGTTTAAAAATTTATTTAAACTATTACAATGTTAAATAAATATAATTTAATTAAAATGTTTCTTTATATGCAATTGAAATATTAATAAAAAAAAAAGAAAAATACACAAACACTTTTGTGTATTAAATATAAGTATAATAAAAAATAATGTTTTACCATTATTAATTAAAAAGTCGAATTATTTAGTTCCTAACCTTAACAAATTAAAAATAATCATTAAATATTATACTACTGTATATAAACTCTAATTTTATATACATACTTATACACGTTCATTCTTTCTTTCCTATTTTTTGTTTGTTTGTTCTCTCTCTTTCTCTATCTTTCTATCTCCTTTTTTTTCCTTTTTATTTCTCAACCGAACCATGAAGCTTATCCAAACGTTAAAACCGTAGTGAATCGTGATTTAATGACGAATCGTTCATCAAGCTCTCTTTTACAACACTCTGATTACTAACCCCATCCTCCACTCATCTCCAATCTATCCTCTAGTTCTTCTAGGAACTTTTGTGTCAAGCATAGGAAAAAGATCACGAACCGATACTCTCTCGTCAATCGTTGTAATGATGGTGATGGTGGTAGTGCTGGTGATGGTGGGTTCAGAAACTCAAGCTGAGGGATTAAGAAATGCTGATTCGTTGGAAAATCCGAGCTCAAAGTTCGTCTCTTTTAAAACGTCGACGATTACTATTACTATCACTACTATAACTACTACTACTACTATTACTATCATTAGTACTATTACTGTTAGCAGTGGTATTTATCCGATGGTAGGATGAAATCCTCAGTTTTTACGAGAAATATCACATTTGCAGTTCCTTTAAAAACGTGGATTTTAACGAAAAAAAGGGAGTGATAGAAGGGATGAGAGAAGGGGTGAGATAGGGGGTGAGGAAGAGGAAGGGTGAGAGTTAGGGTCAAACGATAACATTCCTAAAGATGAAAGAGAAACGTTAAAGGTTGCTACGATGAGTAGAAGTAGTTTAGTTTAACTCACAACGAAAGGATTCCAATTTCGTATCTACTCACTCACTCTCTCTCTCTCTCTCTCTCTCTTTTTCATCTTTTTCTATTTCTTTTTATCTCACTCAAATTTTTCTCTCTTTTTCTTGTTTCAATGTAATTTTTCTTTTTTTCTTTAGATTATTTTCGTTTCTTGTCAAAAGCATGTTTTTGATGATGAGAGTCGACATTTTAATTGCAAGATTATTTTTTAGGTTAGATCGTATGATTTTATCGAGATTTTATGGTATAGTGTAAGATAGTGTTAGTATAAGTATAGGGTGATATAATATATTGTTTAAAATATGAGAAAAGTATTTTTATATTGTAATATAGTATCAAGTAATATTTTGTATTAATATATTATAGTTATTACAATAATTAATAATATAATATATACTATATATTATATAAAGTATTATGTAATACTATAGTACTTAATAATATAGTATATATTATATTATTCATTAAAGCAATATTATACTATTAATTTATTAATGTATTTTGTAATTAATGTATTACTATATTTATTAATGTAATTAATTAAATAATTAATGTATTACTATACAATAATAGTTATTTAATTATATTAAATATTATATAATATAATTATATTATTATCATTATTATTAAATATAATATAATTATATAATTTAAATATATAATTTAAATATTTTATATAAAATAATAATTGTAATATTTATATATTAATAATAATTATTTAGTTATATCAAATATTATAAAATATAATAATATATATTAATACTTATTATATTATTACATATATTTATTACATATATATTTGTATGTAAAATTAACATATTATATGACATATATAATTAATTAAATATTATAGTTATTATATAGTTATCATATTAATACATATTAACCTTAGATGTTTAAATATTTTATTAATTATTAATTATATTTTAAAAATTTCCTTAATATTGTTAGCAATGAAGACTCATGTTATGCAAAATAATGTAATCCTAAATTTAGAATTATAATTTTTCTAAACATTACTAAATACCAACAAACAATAATTTAAACAATAATAATTATATTTAATAAATATATAATAATAAAAAATATTTAAATAATATTATACAACAACGAAAAATTGAAAATCAATCAAATTGGTTCAACTTTTCAATTTAATATTTAAATATATAAAATAATATTTAATTTTACTATACTACATCATACTTTACATAAAAGTTTATACGTGAACAATATGATAAAATACGATATACTATAATACGATAAACCTAAAAAGACAATAAATTCTCAAAGTTAGGAAACCTCCTGTAAGAGAAATTTCCAAAATATTAATAAGAAGTTCCTTGATTTACGATCAAACTTTAAGAAACAACCATACACATACTAAACCAACCTGAGCAAAATATAAAAATATATTTATCTGGGTCATTCGAGTTTCCCTCTCTCTCTCTCTCTCAATTAAAGATCATTGACCTAAATTCAAAATAAAACTACAAACCTATACACTTCAAAAATCATTTCAAAACTTGAACAATAATTCAAGTCATACCTCATGTCACATACTTTTATTTTTAATTATGTTCCCTTGTATTTCGTTGTGTTGTTTTAATAAACAAACATTTTTTTTTTCATTTTTCTCTCTATCATTAACGAAGGACACGAATGATAATGATCTTTAGTTTCTCAACTAACTAGATCTTCAATGGGTAATTACGAGAAGCTTCATGCGTTTGAAGAGCTTTTGCAAAATTCGACTTTGTTTGAAAGTACTTGCCAGAGCTTTTCCTGTTAGCTTCATTATGTCACGAAGGAATGAACGAACGAACGAACTTACGAAAGGGGTGGGGGAAGAAGTGACGGAGTAGGGAGGAGAGTGAGAGGAAGGGAGGAGTTAGTGGGAGGGGGAAAGGATTGGTTGGTTGGGATTGGAACGTTAATTGGTCTAGCTTAATTATTCTTCAATTATATTTGTCTATGTTAGTAGTTGACGATAGTACTTTTCCTATCATTCTAACCCCTTATCCTTTTTTCCTAACCCTCTAGAATTTTTTTAATTTATTTTTGTTACCCATCTTGATCTACAATACTTTTTTTATTATTCTACTTCTCCTTTGGTTTTCAATGAAGACTTTTGATCTCATTTAAAAACATCACTTTGATACACTTTCATTGTTTTAATTTAACCATTAGAGTGCTATGGACGCATATATGCGTTTGGTAAAAATTACCAAAGTGGTCTATCGTGTTTGTTAATATTTATGTAAAATAATGTAATGTTTATATTATTTAATTAAATTATATTCACAGAAAGAACAACTTTAATTATTAAATATAATTTATAATTAGAATTATATTATTATTAAAATTAATTAATTTATTATTATATAATTTAAATTAATTAATTTCTAATAATAAAATTATTGATTATTAGACTATTAGTTAGTAATAAATTATTCTGTTCCTACAAAACATTTTAGTTAAAAGTATTCAACATTCAAAGGGTTAATTAAATTAAATTTATTTGTAAAATAAATTAAAGATTAATAAATAAAAACAAATTGTTGTTATTATTAAATGATTTTAATTTTAATTAATTAACAAATAATTATCTCTTACCTGTTCCACCCAAAGATTCGTCGTCATGATCTGATTCTTCAGATTCTGTAACAAAAGATTAATAATTGTTATTAACAAAAAAAAAATTGTATTAAGTATGAAAATGTTAGTTTCATTTCTTTTTGATGGATTTTTATTTTTTCATTAAGTATTTTTTATTTTTGTTCTTGCTGTTTAGTATATTTTAGGGAATGTATCAAGGTTTCATTTTAGGTAGGAAAGCCTAGGAAAGCTTTTCCATTTTGCCCTTTTGTGACTGTCCCTGACAGTACATTGTAATTTCCGGTTCCAGGAATATTCTGGCGAACTAATTGGATGACCTGACTAAGTTGGTACAGGATCTCTGTTTAGAACTCATGTTTCTTTATTAAACTTTAGTCATTGTATTTACTTTTATTTATGAATGGTGGAACATTGTTTTATTTTATTTAGTTTATACTTTAAGTTAAACGTATACTAAAGTTTATATTTTTATATTTTAATTGACGAATTGATTAGTTGTCATTTATAGAACAAAAACAAAAGTAATGATAATTAATAATATTTTGTAATAAATTTGTCTTGACAATTTTTTCATTGATTTGTTGAGTTAGACAATTATATTTAAAGTTGTATTTTTTTCGTTTGGTTTCATTTAAGTATTTATTGAAATAATTATTTAAAATTTTAAAAGGTTTATGATATTAGAAATCAGAAACGAATATTAGAAAATATCAGAAAATATCAGAAAATATTAAAAAATATATTCAACCGTATTGGTTTTTAACAAATTTGATATATTATTTTAAAAATATAATTTTCGATTAAAAATATTATTTTATTTATAAATTAGTTAATCAATAAAATAACTCATTAATATAATATATTTATAATATTATTAATATTATTAATAAATAAATTTAACCATATTGGTTTTTGACTAACTTGATAAATTATTTTAATAATATAATATTAAATATAATTCTTTCGATTAAAAATATTATATTATTTATAAATTAATTAATCAATAAAATAACTCATTAATATAATATATTTATAATATTATTAATATTATTAATAAATAAATTTAACCATATTGGTTTTTGACTAAGTCGATAAATTATTTTAAAAATATAATATTAAATATAATTCTTTCGATTAAAAATATTTTCCTACAAATTGTTGAATCAATAAAATTTCTCATTAATATTACTATTATATTTAAATAAATAAAAATATTAAAAATTCCAATATTACTTCTTACCAAATAAAATATTGCAATAGTGAAAGTAACATTTCAGCACATATTATATTTGCATATAAATTGTTAAATAATTTCAAAAGTATTTATTACCCAACTGAAAATGTCTTTCAACAAAAAAAAAAAAAAAAAGCAAGAGAAAAAAAAATATACCTGTGTACGATACATAATACGAGATTTTTATTCAACATATGCACATATGCACACATGCATCATACACCCTTATATACATACGTTTACACCTATATAAATATATGCAACATAAATTTTGATATTCTCAAGTTTTCTTTGATTTTACTTGTTTTTTTTTTTCTTTTTTTTTCCCATAAATTATAAAAGAACATTGTGGCAAGCACGTAGAAGAAAACGAGAACGATTAAAATGCTAATGGCAACAACGAAATTGGATTTAATCGATGAGTTAAAAAAAGAATATTCGAGTAAGGAGTTTTATAGCGAATGCCAGGTCGTCGTCGTCGTCGTCGTCGTGGTAGTAGTGGTGTCCTTGGGACGAGGAAGTGAATTATTTTTTATCGTCGTAGTCGTTGGATGATGATGATGATGGTCGTAGGTGTGAGAAAAGAGAAAGAAAGTAAGTGAGAGAGAGACAGAGAGAAAGAAATAGAACCACATTTACATGCAAATGTGGTAACGTTGGGACAGGTAACGGAGTTTCTTTCTTTTTTATTCCTTTTTTTTCCCTTTCTTTTCTATTTTTTTTTAACTGGCACACAAGCACACGTTCAGAAAGTAACGAACGACTTATACGTGGTTTTGTTCTGCGATAAAAAAAAAGAAAGAAATGAAAAGAAAAATTATTCACTACTTTTTAATCATAAACTACGATTACACCAATGAAAGAAGAAGAATAAGAAGAAGAAGAAGAAAAAGAAATAATTAATAATGATAGTATTAAAAAAAAAAAAAGAAAAAAAAAGGAAATAAGATAATTCATAACTTTGTCCAGATTTTGTGCATTAACGTTATTATTTATCTTATCTTTTTATCTTAACACTTTTGAATTGTTATATTTAGAAATAATTTCACTTGATGTTTTATTCAAACTAATGTTAATAATCTTATTCAATATTTACTTCAAATATATTATTTATTTATTTTATAAATTTTAAAAATTGATATTTGCAATTATTGCCTATTTGCAATTATTATTTGGAAGAGTTGCATATTTTGATTTATTTTATTTCATTTGTTCTTTTTCAAAAACATAATCTAGAAAGATTCTGCAAAATTTGTAATTTCTAGCAAGGAAGAAATAATTTTGATAATTTATTTTAAATTCTAAGTAAAATATATAATTTAGATTGTTTTGAAATATTTATTATAAAAAATTGGCAATAATTTTATTAATAAAAAAAAAAATTATAATTGCCTAAAAATGCTTAACATTTAATCCAATCTTTTATATATATATATATAATATAAATATTATCTATTTTATTTATTTTATATATTTTATATATTATATCAAATATTATTTATTAGTTCTACAAAATATTTTATTTACTTTTACAATCTACCATTTTTCATTTACTTTTCAAAAAAGGAAATGAAATCCCCAGAACTCACTTCGAAGGAATGAAGTTTTTAACCCTTACGAGACCTTACGGGAAATGAGACACTTTTGATAAAAAAAAAAAAAATAAACTAAAAAACAAGAAAACAAAAACCAAAAAAAAAATTGACAAGAATCTCATCGATAAGAAAGTATAGTCTTCTAAAAAGATAGTAAAAGTGGAAAAGAAGTTTTAACGAGTTCCTATCGAACCTTCTTTACGAACTAAAGTCGAACGTAACCCCCCAGGGTTGACAGGCTGGAAAGATAAAAAAAAAAAAAAGGAAAAACGCAATGGTAGGGGTGAACTGAGTTGCACTGGACTGGTCTGGTCTGGTCTGGTCTGGTCTGGTCTGATCTGATCTAGGGTGAGGTAGAATGGGTTGGAGTGGGGTTAGGGTGATTGTGCAGACTGGAAAGTGGTCGAACAGTTCCGATGAAAAGCGGAATAAGGGATGATTTTACGCGCGAGCAACGTTACTTCGAATAGGGCAACATGCGCACACCTTCCACCCCCATCCCCATCCCCATCCCAAACTCCATTTCCACTCCTACCCCTTAACCTTCTACACGTTCACCGATTTTTCCTCTCACCGATTCGATATTCATAGTTACCGGAGTACGTAGCATGAACTTTATACGTGATTCGCATATTTAAAAAAGTGAACTTGCTCGAAAAACGATTTATTTTAAACTACGACTTATCTAAAAAAAAAAAATCCAATTTATTTATTTATTTATTTTATTTTGCAATAGATACGAATATTCAATTAGTTTATCATAAGTATCTACATGAGCTTTATTATTATTGTATTTCATTTTAAAATAGATTGATTTATTATAGGGATGATTGGATTAACAAATTTATTTTAGAGTGGAGGATTGAGGTTATGGCATTTATATTTAATCAAATGTTTAATCAAATATTTAATCATAATTTTTAATCATAATGTAAGTGATCTGTATTCTATTGATCTATACAATTCAATTATATCGTTATAATTATATAATCAATTGTATAATCAGTTTCAGTAGTTATATTAAACTATATTATTTATTATACTTAATATTTATACTATTTATGATATAGTTAGTAATGTTAATATTGATTCTAAATATTAAACAAATATGTGTGTACAATCATTTGTATTATAATCTAATAAATAAAATATAAGTGTAGAATGTATATTATACCCATTACCTTTGATAATTGTACTAAGAGAGAGAAATAGAATATATGTGTGTGTATGTGAAAGAAAGAGAAAGAGGGAGATAGAAGTTCTCTTATCCTAATCCCCGGAACTGAGAGGACACAAGAGCTTTTCGTAATCCCTCGAAGCTAATCGTGTTGGTTTCGTAGGGATTTCAAATGGCATGACTAATTTCAAGACTTATAACGTGTGTAATTAAACAATACATGAAGACAATTATTAACAAAATTTATTTCAATTATGTATGTATATATGTATATACATATTGAATATTAATTGCAATGATAATTAATAGAAATAATTACATTTATGTATTTAGTTACAGATTGTGATTGATAAATGTATAGAATGGATGAATAAAGGAATGAATGAATGAATGAATAAATGAGTACGTTTACACGTTAATATTGGTGAAACGATAAAACGTTAAAACGTTGAACAACGAACATTTTGATCGTTTCCCTTTCTTTTGTTCCCTTTAATATATGAAAAATGAAACTCGAGTATGTATCTGATCGTTATCGAGTTAAATAACGCGAAATAACGTTTTCATATTTTGTCATGTAATTATTTTACAATAGATCAATTTTTGATTATAATAGTCAATTTAGAATGATTTTTAATTGGTTAATAAATAAAACTCTTGTATAGAATTCAAATAATTATTAATAAATAATTTCAAGAATCATTATATATATTCAGTTATAATACTATAAAATATTTGTTTCATATATATAGTCAAATTTTGTAAAATTATTCAATATATTATAGTAAATTTAAGTAATATTACTCAAATATTTAATATTTGATATAAAATTTAACATAAAAACTTAAATAATATTTAATATACTAATATAATAAAATCATTGTAATAAATGTGATCAACTATAGTAAAGGTAATAGTCATTCTCAAACCTAAATAAAATATTTCATATATTACTGTAATAAAATCATTGCAACAAGTTTTAACATCCATAGTAATGGTAATAGTCATTCTTAAACCTAAATAATATAATATTTAA